ATGTGATTTCCGAGTTTGCAGCTGTTAAAGCTAGAAAGAAGAGCTTTTAAGTGTTTGTACATATGTATATGAGAGTATATTAATTCTACTCTCATTCATCTTTTGCCGTACACAACTTTCACTTTCATACATCAATGTGAAAGAATGTTTAATAAAACTGTACTATTTTTATCATAATATATTAACTTGATAATTAATGACTCTTATTTGTATTAATTAAATAAAATCATACTTTACGTTTATCGGATTTTTATTAATTTTAACAGTTTTCATTCTTGGGGTGACACAGCGATATCCGCACCGGGTGCCACCCATGCTGGCTACGCCACTGTGAACAGATACACTTTTTGGATATCGACATCCAAATTGAAAGGAGATGGTATAATAACAGGTATCTATGTAAAATCAACACAGTCCACTATACATTCCCACTAACTCGAACGGGTATGGATATAAACTGTCCCGCCTTTCGAGCACTCATCAGAAGAGCGTATTCGCATCGCTCTAATGTACTGGACACGATCAAAGAACTTAATAGATTTAACAAAGAGCACTAGAACACAGTATTATCCTGTATGGCACAAGTAGAGGACTCTGTGGTTAAATGGAATGAAGCGACTATCCTCAGGACAATGCGGTCTACATTATTGGCAATGCACGAAGTAAAAAGAAAAATCGAAGTATATAAAAGTAAATTAAAAGATGGTTATATTAACGCCATGGATACGGATGAATTAGCTTCCGCATGGAAGTTCTACATAAAAGAAAAACTAATGCAAAAAATTCTTAGCTCGCACCTGCTCTTATACTTAGTAGCACTTTCTGTGTATTTATTTTATTTTTCATATATTACTTTTTATTTCATTACATTATTTACATCGTTATTGTATTAGTTACTTTAGTACAGTCGACTCCCCTATAACGTGCGTTCCTATAACGTAGCGAAAAAATTGTAGCAACATTCGTATAAAGGAGCTCCTAAAACGTCGTCGCCGACTCGTTTCGCGACAAGATTAATAGAATCTGGACCAGTAGTGGATAAGCAGCCGAACTACTTTCCTCCAAGGTCTATATGAAAAGGTCAGGACACGCGTGATCTACTTCTCGAGCAGCCATTTTGGGGTTTTTCGAGTCGCGTGTTTTAAGCAAACTCGTACGAGCAGTCAGTTTTATACGACATTAATTAAACTAAAATTGCATAAATCCAGTGATTTCCAGTCAAAACATCATAATAATTTCGGACGATTACGCAAACCCAATTTTATATAACGTTTTCATCAAATAGTTTAAAAGAAACAAGCATCCGTATCATTCGCCGTCGCGATTGAAATTAATTAAATAGGTACTATAACTGATGCAATTACGTATATACCACTTCGTAAAGCGATGCAATAACACCAAAAAAATGTAAAGTATAATAAAGAACATAATAATACAGTATAATGTAACAAATTTATAATTATTTTTTTAAAGCACGATTGGTTATAAAATTAAGACAAAATTCAATCATATTATTGATAAATGTTGTCAACGTAATTCTCATTTTATAATAAGTAATAAATGCGTAGATATATTTTTAATTTATAAATAGCTTAAGTGACTTTCATATCAAGCATTTAGCTTACCGAAGTCTATGAGAACACTTATTTGCCATTGACGACCTTAAGTTTCGCGCCAATAAGCTGCCTGGTACTTGTTCGATTATGACTCAATTTCACATTTATTTTCACATTTTCTGTTCTTTTAACGTTATTTACTCGTGTAGGTCATTTCATTGTTATCCACATTTGATATCATCACTTATACCGCCATGACGCTCGGTCTGCCCTCTACAACAGTCAAGAATTAACGTGATTGGCTAAGCGTAGTGACAGCGGGCCAATAGAGAGCAGGGTGCGCGATCCTTGCCATAATGCGGTTTGCGCGACAATTTTCGCACGTGTGTTAAAACGGCCGAATCAAAAAACCTTATATATTATATATTTTTAAACAAACAATAATTTATTGACAGAAATAATTACGAGTGTTCTAAACGTTGCGTAAGTGATGTTACGTTCATATAAAGTTTCCTTTGTTTACATTTTTGTATTTTTATTTCTACATGCTTGTGTGTTTATATTAACAAACATGAGGTAACCTTATATTCAAAGGCGGCCTTAGGGGGTGGCGAGTAGGGCAATCGCCCGGGGCCTCGCGCAACAACCCGGGTAGAAAAAAGTTGATATTTAAAACTTTTTATTTTATCCTTAGCTATTAGTTATAACAATAAAATAAATTAGGTTAATTCATAGTACAGTATATATTATTATTAATAAGTGCCTAAATAAAATTTCTCATTTAGATTTATTCAATCTCACATTCGTATAAAAGGTAAGATTAACGATATCAAAATTAATTTATTTATTTATCAGTGAATAATAATATTTTTTGTAATTTGACTGTAAAACATATTTGAAAAATTTATTACTATTTGAATCCTGTTCCTCGCGCTTAGAAAACTCACTTGAACGGGCGGTTTTGTTACTTTCGTGATTCATGGTGTTTACGATTTATGCTCGGGGTATCCCCGTGTTTCATTTCGTTTGTCAATTCTTGTCACCTGACGCTTATTTTGCTAGCAGCTGTATGCGCTACATAATCGTTTGTATGGCACATATCTTTCAGTGGGTAAATAAACATTAAATGATATTAAGTTTTAGTGAATCTTACATTATTAACAGTACTTATGGTAAAGAGTGAATTGTTAAAAAAAACTGTGTAAAACTGCTTGTAAATTATTTCTGAATTAGTTTTATGTGCGAAACAGAATTTATGAAATGAGTTCGCTTGATCGTGATGCCGACACGATTTAGTTCAACCACTTTCACGCTTAATAATTAACTCCCGTGTTAAACCATCTGACTCCGATTCTGACCACTCTGATCACAAAAATTATTAGGCTTCAAACAGGGTGAACAAAATCATGCCCCCCCCCATNAATGGTTTCTGGTTAGACTGAAGCGAACGTTTTCCATCCCATAAAAATATCTTAGCCTTATTAATGGAAATATTTAGACGTATTCTGACGTCATTTCGCACGCAGAATCGTATGGTAAAATGCGTACGAACTGTTTCGTACTTGCGTATATTTGTTTCATTTAAGAGCGACTTTATTTAAAAATACGTTCGCGTCTTTTGACAGTAAGAGAATGCGATAATTTGATTTGCCTTATTTCATTACGAGGAAAAAGGACGTTTAGGAATGGTGTCTGTGACGTTATAAAGTAACCGTTGCTTACGAGATAATAGAGGCTATGGCATTTCAAGAATGTGCTGGGGGACAAAACGGTTTCTGGCGGTAGCCGGCAGGGGCGCTACTACACCCCTAAAGTCTGATCGTTGCAACGGTTAGATAAAGCTTCTTAGTGCCTCGTATATACAGTCGTTTCTCCTATAATACTGTTGATAATTCCATTTTATATGAATTCCATGTTGTACGAGTCACTTAGATTTTATAAATACCTGAGTTGTTCGCAGCCCGGCACATGTATTTGTAAAATCTAAGTGACTCGTACAACATGGAATTCATATAAAACGGAATAATCAACGGTGTTATTGGGGGGGCTGACTGTATTAAAAAAATATAAGTGAAACACAAACGAATGGGTGATATCACATATATTGACTTATCCTTGACGTTCTTTCTTTGTTAATAAGTTGTGGATATAAGTTTTAAAGATTATTCCTTCATTCCTCCCCACATAAAGCAGCTCATTTAAATTGTTTTGTTAAAGAAGCGATTTCTCATACTCAGAATTACTTATGAGGATATGGATAAGTGGGATATATCCTCCTTTCACCTGGTTTATTTGTTCTGTATAATAATTATTTGCATTTTTTAAATATTATTATAAGAATCATATGATATATTATCATAATATTATGACATGATTAAATTGAAAAAGCAGAAGCATAGCACTAATTAGTTTTAAATGACAAATGCTCTCTTATAAATGATTGATTGATAAAATCATATTTTGCATTTTTTTTTTTTTGTTTTTTCACTTATATTGCTGACATAGATAGAAAAGAGGAGTATATTAAACATGTTTTTGTGTATTGATTTGAAAGAAGCATTGCATATGATCCTATCATCTAATCCAGGGGTCGCCAAACTTATTCAACTGTCGACCCCCAACCACTTTCCAAAGCCTCACATTGACCCCCACCGTAAAGTTTTATTACAAGTGTGTATGTATGAGGAAAAAAAAACGGTTGTGACCCCCTTACCGCATCAACCCCTGGGGGTCAATATTGACCACTTTGGCGACCCCTGATCTAATCTTTCAAGAAAACAAACTTTGTAAGTTTCTTTAACTGTATTTATCATATTTTTTGTTTTATATTTATAATTTTATAAAAATTTTCAAATGTCTTACATTTGATTTTAAATAGAAAAAAAATGTTATTACATGATGTAATACTTGGTTTCAGTTACATTTNTACTTTAAAACTCTAAATTTATTCATTTATAACTTTTGCATTTCTTGTCAATCATCAGAAATACCTACTTTCAATTCATATACTTTGCACAAAGGAGAAGGGCCTCACAAAGATCTGTCGCCCGGAGCCTCGCAATGGTTAAGGCCGCCTCTGCTTATATTGTAGAACCTGTAAAGAGATTTTCTCCAGTTCGCAACAACAATTATAACCTCATCGAGTTTGACCAATCAGTGTAACTCTTGCCCAAGCACGTGACAAGACGAGAGTTCGATCTAAATCGGTGACGTCGACGTTCATGTCGTCCCCTCGTAAGTAGAAAATGGTTCAAATAATTAAGAATACGTACGTTTGAGATCACAATAAGTAGTCGTAAACTACAGTAATGCAATTAAACGCTTTTGCAAGGGGGATAAAAAGTCACGTGACACCTGCCGTGTCACGTGATTTTTTATCCACTTCTACGCGCACGTGACCAAATTTGTTCTTGATGATTGGTCGAGACCGGAGTTACAGAAGAACGCGTCATAAGAACTGTCGAGATAGATGGAGGAGGTTGTCTTGTTGTTTGTGTCCCGGTCTTTGTTGTTTATCGTCTAAGAAACGCTTCTGAAATGGTTACGTAAGCAATATTATTGTCTTCTGAAGAACATTTGACGTAAATGTAAGTATTAAACTTAAATCCCGAAATTGATTTTACACTGTGAAGTAGATAATAAAACAAACTGCAGTCGCCATTTTGGTGTTTACGACTTTAGTCTTTGTCTGTAGAATGGTTTCTGGTTAGACTGAAGCGAACGTTTTCCATCCCATAAAAATATCTTAGCCTTATTAATGGAAATATTTAGACGTATTCTGACGTCATTTCGCACGCAGAATCGTATGGTAAAATGCGTACGAACTGTTTCGTACTTGCGTATATTTGTTTCATTTAAGAGCGACTTTATTTAAAAATACGTTCGCGTCTTTTGACAGTAAGAGAATGCGATAATTTGATTTGCCTTATTTCATTACGAGGAAAAAGGACGTTTAGGAATGGTGTCTGTGACGTTATAAAGTAACCGTTGCTTACGAGATAATAGAGGCTATGGCATTTCAAGAATGTGCTGGGGGACAAAACGGTTTCTGGCGGTAGCCGGCAGGGGCGCTACTACACCCCTAAAGTCTGATCGTTGCAACGGTTAGATAAAGCTTCTTAGTGCCTCGTATATACAGTCGTTTCTCCTATAATACTGTTGATAATTCCATTTTATATGAATTCCATGTTGTACGAGTCACTTAGATTTTATAAATACCTGAGTTGTTCGCAGCCCGGCACATGTATTTGTAAAATCTAAGTGACTCGTACAACATGGAATTCATATAAAACGGAATAATCAACGGTGTTATTGGGGGGGCTGACTGTATTAAAAAAATATAAGTGAAACACAAACGAATGGGTGATATCACATATATTGACTTATCCTTGACGTTCTTTCTTTGTTAATAAGTTGTGGATATAAGTTTTAAAGATTATTCCTTCATTCCTCCCCACATAAAGCAGCTCATTTAAATTGTTTTGTTAAAGAAGCGATTTCTCATACTCAGAATTACTTATGAGGATATGGATAAGTGGGATATATCCTCCTTTCACCTGGTTTATTTGTTCTGTATAATAATTATTTGCATTTTTTAAATATTATTATAAGAATCATATGATATATTATCATAATATTATGACATNTCCGTGTACATCTTTTAAGGCATTTATGTACCTTAGTTTATCATCATTGATAATTTGTCGTCGTAGACCGGATGGCCGAGCGGTCAAGATGGCAGTCTACCGCTTTTGAGGACCCAGGATCGAATCCGGATGGGTTAAGGAATCCTTAGGAAATTTTCGGGGGGTAGTCCGTTCGGATATGTCGGGTTCAGTCCCTCACCACCCTGTCGCCCGATTGTGTGCCTTGCCTAACTCTAATGGGCCTGCTATACTCTTATAGCAGGACCATTGGGGTTTTCCCTCTTAATGCCCACAGAGTGGAAAGAGTAAAAAAAATAATAATAATTTGTCGTCTTTATGTTTGTTAACTTTTATAAATCTTCTAATATAATACTTTAAAACTCTAAATTTATTCATTTATAACTTTTGCATTTCTTGTCAATCATCAGAAATACCTACTTTCAATTCATATACTTTGCACAAAGGAAAAGGGCCTCACAAAGATCTGTCGCCCGGAGCCTCGCAATGGTTAAGGCCGCCGCTGCNTTCCAGTTAACCAGATTCCATTGTCTTATGTAATAAATTGCTTGAATGTATACAAGTGCAATTATTTAATTGTAGAAGCTTTGCAATTACTAACGACTGTAAAAATTTTAAAGAATTTTCTGTAATGTAAATTGCATAGAATTTTAATGCTGTATTTCCTTAATTGCAACATATATGGCAAAATATAATATTAATAACGGTATCGGGGCATTAAGGCTTGAGTCTGCCGCTCTGGGCAACCTTGAATCGAATCCGAGCGATCAACCCCTAGAAATTTTTCGCCCCATTGTGGGCCTGGCCGAACCCACGATCCGTACGGAAAAAATGGCACTTATTCAACCTCCAAATAACGGCCATTTATATGTTCTTGTCAGTGTCCGTGATTCAGAGGTTTGTTGTATAATTCGTTATTAGGTTACTTATCCAAGGTTTGCAGCAGTGATAAAAAATGCTCCTTTAGACACTCTTATGCTATTGGTTCCAAAAAGAGTTACGTTTTTAACCTTTAAAGGTATCTTTACACAGCACATTGTTCCATTTCGAGAACGACACTTATTTTCTGTTTAGGCAAATTTCTGTTTTATAAAGAACTAATTTTAGACACGTTTTATCTCATGTATACATACATTTATATTAATGAAACATTCTACACTTCGAAATTTATTGAAAAGTAAAGATTACCATGCTTTAAAACTACAATGCCTTTAATATTATATTAGTTCGTAATTAGTAAAGTCTACGAAATAAACATTGCTACAGTGTTTTTGATGGCCCGAATTTAATTCCGGATTTCCCAGAGCTGTAATCCGATTGATGCCATTACCACCTTACCTAACTATATCCTCTTATTAAATATTTGAAAATAAACTTATTAACTGGAAAATAGTAAGTGTATTATTTAAAGTAAACTATATTAAACAATAAAGTTTAGTAAACTTGCTCTAAAAGTTTATAAAAACTTGTGCCATATAAGCAGATACCAGCAAGGAAAAAGGGCAGTGGAGAAGTTAAATAGCTTCGAATTCCAGCACACCGAAAGCATCATTCTCCAGATAATAAAGAACCATTTAAAAAGAACGAATTTCAAATGTTCCGCATATCATAATTTTGTACTATGTGTGTCAATTCTTAACAGTTGTCAATCTTAGTGTTAAGCTGTTGTTTATATTTAACATATTTTAAATTAAATAAATCAAAGTCGTTTAAAAGAATTGCAGCCTGGCATTGTGATCGTGTATCAATAAATAATTGCTCATATTTTTTTATTTTTTCCCGATCAATAATAAGCCACACAGGAAATGGTAATATATATAAGTGATCCAGTCACGAATGACACATTGATACGAATAACAGCCATGAGAAGTATCTATTTTCTCCTCATAATCATTTACGTAAGTGAAATATCTCATAGGTAAGTGATTCTGTATTTGCTACAAGCGAATATTTATAAATCTTGGTTTAAATATAAAATTTTAAATGTAGCGCCTTTCAAATTTGTAAATTTTTTAATGGTCTCCTTTTCTAAATTCCTCCAAATACAAGGAGTAGATTTATCCAATGTTTCACAAACTTTTTAAGTATCATAAATAAATTCTTGGTAGAGGGTTCGTATTTCACGTGTCAAACAGGTAAATTGGGCAGTTTCCCATACAATGTGCTTTTGGGTGCCATCATGATTGGCAGATTTATCGAGTAATGCGGCCGTATTTTAGGAAATTTCATTAAATTATTTGTGATTCTTTGCTTCAGTTTCCTAAATTAGTAATTAATCATCAAAATTTGTGTAAGAGTTAGAGTCGTGAAGAAAATTCTTTAAACTTCACGTGGTCAGTCCACTGTCCGGGTGAGAACCCGTGATTATTCGTTTGTATTTCGTTATTATTTCATCCACTCCGCCATTGGTGGAACCTGTGGCTATTGATGATAACGTGAAAGTACAATTGACAATTAAAGAGAAATTGAAGCGGTACTTAAAAATTGACCTTATTATTTTTAAAAAACACATGACTTCCCTTATGAATCAAATGGTTATGTAGAGTTTATCGAATTCTACTGTCTCTACGATTTTTACACCTGTGTAGAAGTCCCTTTGTTATTGAGATAAAGAAAGGACAGACAGCCAGACACAAGTAGGTATTTATAAGCCTGCAATTTTTGAAAACTGAAGTCCAATAAAATAAGCTGAAATGCTTATCTTTGTTGCACGTAACTGAAAAAAGAAATGAAAGAAAAACATGTCCATAATTTAATTTCTTATCATTCTAAATATCATTTGCATATAGTAAAATCATATTCTATTGCCGAGATGTTAAACAAAGCTGCAAGATTTCCCACATTGCATGACAAATTTCATGGATTTTAGTATTGATCAAACGTATTTATAATAAGCAGAATTTACCTTATTTTGAAATGGAAAAGTTAATTTTAAAATAGAAAAAGCATGCTTTGTGTGTTTATTTATTCTGCATAGAAATATAAAATTCACTTCACTTAATAATAAAATAACACTAGAATCACATCTGTTATTCATCTGTGAGATGAATATCAAATGCATTAAATTGTTTCTACAAAGAGACGAAGAAGGAATGATGAGAGTGATTAAAAAAGTAATAATGAACAAGCAATTATTTATAGTAACGTTGTCACAGCACTTGACTGCAGAAGCAGAAGGCATAGCAGAAATTAGTTTTAAATGACAAATGCTTTTTTTTATAAATGATTGATTGATAAAATCATATTTTATATTTTTTTTATATTGCTGACATAAAGGTAAAAAATAGGAATATTTTAAACATGTTTTTGTGTATTGATTTGAAAGAAGCATTGCATATGATCCTATGATCCGTTCTTTCAAATTTCTTTCACTGTATTTATTATATTTTTGTTTTATATTTATATTTTTTATAATTTTATAAAAATTTTAAGTGTCTTACATTTGATTTTAAATAGAAAAAAAAATCTTATTAAATGATGTAATACTTGGCTTCAGTTACCTATCATATGGCATAAAAGCTTATGATTTGTAGAAAAATAAGAGTAATTATGTATTTTTTCAGCAGTGAAATAATGTAAAAACATTGGTCTGATTAATTTAAAATGAATAATTTAAGAAATCGTATCTCAGGATTTAGAATGCATGAAAAAAAGAATAATTACTAATAAACAATAATTTTATAAAGTTTTTGTTGCTGTCGAAACTGTGTTATTTATATATTGTATACTGGCACAGTGAAGTGACCTCTTAACCAACACTTGGCAAGTTTCCCATCTTTATTTAGTTATAATCTATAATATAAGGTTCTACATTCACTTTTCTTAATTGGTTATTAATCATTTTCCACGTTATTGATGGGTACATTTCTATTACATCAAGACTAGCTAATTTGGACGTATGTTTTATCTGGACTCTCTTCAAATCTTGTAAAAGTTCTTCTGTATTTCTGATTGAATAAATTGAATTGTCGTAGCTCTTAAGTTTTTGTTTTAGATATTCTTCCAAATTGTATAATATAGTAAATTTAAAGTTGACTATTGGTCTTACTTTCTCATCTTGTTTGTGGGTTTTTAATTGGATATTTAATCTAGGCATTCTCTCATTATCCTCAGATAATATAAAAGCTTTTCCACTTTTTGTAACATCTCTGTTTTTGTAATTTAGTAATTTGTTTTTTAATTCCTCATATATGATTTCTCTTGGATTGATCGGAAGTTCTCTGAAATTTTTCCTGTTTATAATTTGTAATTTTTTTGAAATACAGTTGTCCCTTGATAATCTGACAGGTATGGGACCAAAGGTGTGTCAGATTACCAAAAGTGTCCGGATTACCGAAAATAATTACATATTTCGCATTGTTTTGCTAGCAGTAACTTAAAATATTCTCTACTCCAACTGTTCGAACAGAACTGCTCACATAAAATGTGAGCAGTTCTGTTGTGTGTGTCATCGAAATGTGTGTCATCGAGTAAGAATTGGATGGGGACATTCACATCGCGACATGCTTCTGTGCAAGCAGACACGTAACGGGGACAGGTACCTTGACGGGAGGTGTGTCGGACTACTGAGCATGTCGGATTAAAAAACGTCGGAGTATAGAGGGACAACTGTAATCCATTCCTGGGATACTACCACAATTTGCCTAGATTTATCTGCTCTAATTATATTAAGTTTATTATCATTTAAATACTTATGCAGTTTTTCAATTTCTGTTTTATATTTATAATAATTTTTATCTCTGACGATTACTCTATCCTTTTGTCTCAATATGTGTCTTAACAATATTACTCAATTTAGTTTTCATTATCTCAGAGTTTACCTCTGTCAATCCTTTGCACATTTTGTCTAAACTTGGTACTGTATCTATTACTCTCCAGCTATTAGGACCGTTAAAATCTAATCCTGTCTGCATTGTCTTGAGAACATCTTTAGGAAACACAAACTCTGTTTTATTTAATACAAGAGATTTTTTCCATTCTGATATCTCCTTCTATGGAAGGATATTTAAATTTTTCTATTAATTTTTTATTTTTGTTATTCTATAATTATCAATATCACTATTATGTAAGTTTTTAATTTCTTCATTTCTTTGTTGATTTTTTTGGTTTTTATAGTTTTGTAAACTACGCTTTAATCATCGAATTTTAATATATTTAAATTTTATTGTAGATTTTAGGATCTTGAAGTTAATGTAATTTCTCTCACATATTGGAATGTTCTGGCTGATGGACTTAGGGAGTGTGTGTGTTCTTAATTGTCTATTTTCAGCAATGTGAGCTTTCAGGTAATCTATATCAATAACGAGCTTTTCTATCTCACCTTGTATCCTCGTGACATAGTCTGTTTTTCTGTGCTGTATATTTTCCATATCTTCTTACTTCGATGTCAACTGCCGTTTCTATTTTCTAATGTACTTTGTTGCGGTCGAAACCGTGTTATTTATATATTTTATACTGGCACAATGAAGTGACCCCTTAATAAACACTTGGCAAGTTTTCCATCTTTATTTAGGTTTTATTAGTATATGTATAAATGAAAATGATAGCTTGGAATATAAATATAGTTAGTGCACAAGAATAGTGACACAACTCGAAAAAATAGATCTTCCAGAACAGCTATTTAAAAGTTTGTTTCCTGCAAGGCTTTGTCATGATCTTGGATTTTTAAAATTTTCAAAGTTTTTTTGGAAATAAATATTAGTGTTTGTTCTTCAACGTAAAAATATTGGGAGTTTGCTATACATTTCTACAATAAACTCGAAATTGGAAATTTTTCAGTTGTGTCACTATTCTTGTGCACCAATGATATATATATTTATATATCATTGGTATCATATATTATATATCATATATCAAATATATATGACTATATAAAAGCTAAAAGTCCATTCTTACTACGAGGCATTTTTTTCTAATTTTTGCTCTCTTAAGACATTTCTCTAGTAGTAGGGTGACCAGATATTGACATAGTCAAAGTAGGACATTTGAAATTTTATAATGCATCCCAGTAGGACATTTGACAACCCAGTTTAAAACAATAAAAATTGGTTGTAAAAAAAAGCACAAAACACTAAAAATTGATAAGTAAATAATTTTAAATTGATATACTACTCTTGTTTTAAATACTACTATTTGTTGCAATTGTACCCATTATTTAATATAAAAATATGAAAAAAAAGTTTGTTATTAATGACTACCAATACTAAATTACAGTAATACCTCGACTTACCTCGCAAACCTGGAGTTATGCGATTTTCAAATCTCGTCGATTTGTCTTTTGTTTGAGCGCCACGCATCTCTTGATTACTCACTCCTCCCACTATTGTTCGGCTTACATGTTTGGACGTGTCGTGCAGAATCAACACATAGCTACAATTTATTTTGTGTTATTTATTTCTGTGTTTGTTATATCTANATTAGTCATTTCATGTAATATTAATTCATCAGAAGTAAATGATAATTTTTTCTGAAATTTATGAAAATTAAACTTGACTCTTAGTTGTTCCACAATATCCAAAAAAATATTGGGTCTTTTGGTTAAACCAATATTTTCCTTATTCCCTTTTAACATAAGTTCACAGGAAAATGGTCTGATAAATCTAATTCAAGAATTTCCATAAACAAACATTGATCACAGCTTGAGAACACATAATATAGTCAATAATAGGATTAATTTACCATAAATAATTACTCATAAAACAAAATATCACAGAAAAAAATCAGATTATATTATTTCTTATTATTATTTTTCAAAACGTGAAAAAATAGTTTTCACTAATTACTGATAAGTAATTACGAATAGAAAAATAAATTGTCTCTAATTTTTATTTTTAAACTTCTATTTCTAATTGCTGCTAACTTGATTGAGAATATCAATATTAGTAAACATTTCTGCGTGAAATTCTGAACAAGTTGTGTTTTTAAAATTAAATTTAGTTGTTATGATACTTTTGACAGTATCTACTGTCATCCAATTACGCTCATCGGTCCACTGTGCTTCAGTTAAGCTGAAAATTCTTTCAACCGTGGCGTTATGACCTGGAATGGCAAACATGTACTGGCAGAAAAGTAAAAATTCAGAATAGTTCTCAGTATTGTTAAATGTTTTTAAAGAAATTACCCGCTTACCATTGACAGAATTTTCGATTTGAGTATTATTTATTATGCTTTTGTCAAAAAATCTTTTTAAATTGACAAATTGATTAATGCCTTTGGAATCGTTAATCATTATATCCCTCTCTTTCAGATATTGAATTGCTTCTACAATTTCATTCTATTCTGGAACCTTTTGCAACAACATCCAACTGAAAACTTTAAATTGCTCAAATTGCATTGTCTATTTCTGTAAGTAATGTTCTGCATATTCATATACTTGTAGACACTCTTGTTTTAATATATTGCATTCGCTATTTAGAGCATTGTTTTGATTAATAATTCATATCACATTGATTGGTAAAAATTTTCAAATTCAAATAACCTTTATTCGTACTAGGCCTTAGCCTGTTAAAATGGGAGTTGTTATTCATATATAACATTAAATCAAACAATTAGATGAGGCTCTCGCCTGATCGTAACAAATTGTTTAATATAATTATATAAATTATATATAGGCTAGTCCTTATCTTGGCAACATGAAAAAAATTGTAAATTCCTATTTTCGAAGTGCGATTATTTAAACTATGAAGATTAAATCTGTCTTAGGCATATGGTTTTTTCACAGCCACAAATCAAATGAAATTTTGAAAAATTATCATTGCATCTTGGACATACATTATTAGAATAAACATAAAACTTATTATCAATCATAATAACATTGTTAAGATGAAGTTGAATAAAAAACCTCTTAACATTAAATGATAGGTTAGACAATATATAATTATTAATATTAGGGTAGTTTAATATCATAGTGTACCAACTCTGCAAATTACATGTCCTGATATCTTCTATATCAAGAGTTAATGAACTTTCCAATTGTAAGAATGCCGATTGGGGGGAATTTTATTTTCTACTGCCAGGATGGTCTAAGGTCTAAGCTTATGTGAGTGGCAATTTCAAGAGGCAGCGAAAGACAAGTGTTTTACAGAGGCAAACCGTTTATTCTTGATCGAAATTTCTTACATATTTTTAGAAAAGGTCCTTTGATTCAAAACTTGAAGATGTCTTTGGTCCTATCGATTGGATGACTGATGTTTTTCTTTGGTAAAGCTGAAGAGGAGCCCCAGGGCAATGGCGTGTTAAAGTTCGGAGGCGAACAGTCACAAGATAGTGGTGATCTATTTTTGTTAAAGGCATATTGAGTGTTGTTGTTATATCTATTTAGAGCTATCCATTCATTAAATTTTGTCGTTAATATAGATGTATATAGCTTCCTTAAACCAGATAACAAAGCGATCGGTCTATAGTTGGCTGGTTGGCATTTATCATCTTTTTTAAAAATCATATATAAAATTACTTTATTCTAATTATAAGGAACTATAGACTGTTCATATAAATCGTTAAAAATTCTGGCTAGATATTCAATCATAGTCTCAGAAAAATTCTTTATTACTCGATTTGTTATATTATCATAATCTGGGGCTGTTTTTTCTTTCAGTTTATTAATATGAGAGTACAGAATTTCTGAATTAAACATAATTTCATCTAATTGACTGCTTTGTTCATCTTGAAAAATCATATTCGTTCCATTATAAATTGAATAGCAATGTGAAAAATCACTAAAATACTTATGCCAAACATCATAAGAGATAAATGAGTTATTAATACTCTTTGTATCTATACGAAATCTGTTTATAATCTTCCAAAACAGTCCAGAATCCTTTTGATCAATTAGCAATTCATTCACTGAAGAACAGTATTTAATCTTTTTAGCTCTAACTATATTTCTATGGATTCTTTTATTTAGCAAGTATTGTTTCAAATCATGGTACGAATTAGACCTTCAAAACCTCTGTAAACTTCTTTGTTTCTTAATTTTGTAGTAGTAACATTTTTTGTCATACCAAAATTGTTTAAATTCATTGATCATTTTATTTTTGTTCATTTTAAAAAAGGATTGTAGTGGATCTATTAGATTATTATAGTTTCTATATGGATCATTAGTCATTTCATGTAATATTAATTCATCAGAAGTAAATGATAATTTTTTCTGAAATTTATGAAAATTAAACTTGACTCTTAGTTGTTCCACAATATCCAAAAAAATATTGGGTCTTTTGGTTAAACCAATATTTTCCTTATTCCCTTTTAACATAAGTTCACAGGAAAATGGTCTGATAAATCTAATTCAAGAATTTCCATAAACAAACATTGATCACAGCTTGAGAACACATAATATAGTCAATAATAGGATTTTCCATTATGCGAAATAAAAGTGAATTCAGCTGGATAGTCTCCTATAATTCTACCATTCAGTATAATTAAATCATTTTCCTGAGAAAAATTTAATAATGTAGAAGCATCCCTAGAAGTATATTTATCTTTCGATAACCTTTTATTATATATAAAGTCACTATTACCTTTATACTTTAAATCCATAAAATCTCCTATACGAATATTAAAATCACCACCAACAAGCCAAAAGTTTATAACATTAAACCAATGGTTGATAGATTATTGCAACTTTTTAAAGTATGTTATTTTTTTTGTAGAAGGAGAAAAATAAGCCAGAATTATTCCAATTTGAGTTTCTCCCCATAATATTTGTAGAGACTGATTAATAGCTATTATCAGCAAAATAAAGGAATCAGTAATATAATATGAATAAATCATACCAAATGATCTCTTTACCATCAATATGAGACCACCAGAAGGGCGTCCGAATCTGCTATACCTCAGAGCTTTACCAATTATTATTGTATACTCTTGATCAAACTCTTTCTTATCTTCTTCACATAATTCTTCTATCCAGGTCTCTGTAAACCCAATAATACATAATTGTTTTATATATTTTTTAACATCGGTATTTTTTTAAATTTCCCTCGTAATCCCTGTATATTCCAGAAACCAATTTGAATTTTAACACTATCTTCAGAATATGCTGTAATACAAGGGCAATAATTATTAACCGTATCCATCCCAATCTGAGTATCAGTAATTTTATTAACTTCGTTGTTAACATTCTTCATATTAGTATTAACATAGCTTAGAGCCATTTCTGAATTAATCTTCTTGGACCTTAAGAGATCATTTTGTTCTATCCTAAAAAATCATCTAGCTGAATAACTGTATTACTATTAATATCATAAGTGAAAATTTTTTTTCGTACGTGTAATAATCATCTCTGACAATAATTTTATTTCCTTTTATTTTTTCTTGTTTAATTATAGGTAGTAAATTTCTCCTTCTCAATCTAGATCTTCTACATATATCAGTGGTGAATATTACATTTCTGTATCTTTCATTGTTAACTCTCGATTTCCAAAATGCATTTAAAATAAGATTTTTATTATATTCACCATCTACTGATATTTTCATTGTTGGATTAGTATCTTTATTTCCTAATCTAATTAATCTTTCAACACCACAGTTTTCTATTTCTAAAATGTTTTTAATAAAGTATTCTATTTCTTTTATATAATCAGTATTCAAAAAGGGAAAATTTATAATGATGATATTATTTTTTGTTTTCTCATTAACCAATTTATCCAGTTCAAATTCCAACATACCTTTTAGATGAATATTATGCTTAACTAATACATCCGATTTCTTCATTTCTTGAGATAAAATTTGTAACTTCTCTTGATATCTCTTATTTTCTTCTTTCATACATTGCAATTCTTTTTTAATGACTTGGATATCATTATTTAGCTGAGAAAAATTGGACTGTATCATTTCATATATTGATTTTAAGGAGTATTGAGAGTGAGAATCTACCTGGAGTTTCTTAAGAGATGAAGGTTCAAAATATTCTGGAATTTTCGAAGATTTCAAAGATCCTGAGTTATATCCAGCAGGTTCTTCCTCCAAGTGAAAAAACTCTCCACATAATATTTCTTCTTCTGGGCATTCAGAATTAAGATCCTTAGCATTATCTTTACGAGGTTGACCTCGCCCCCTCTTTTGCATATCCAGACGGGCAATTTCTTGAGGTGAACGAGATAAAGGACCTGGATTAGTTTCTATTCCCGCCATTAACAACAGGCAGATAATTAATTTTAACATTAAACTATAATCAGTTTTCCACATTTGAATACTATATTGATTCTACAGGTTATAACTATGTGTTATATTACAAGAGACATTAACGAGCGTGCACAAAAAGTTCACCAGCAGCCTCGACGGACAGCGCCTCCTCTCCCTTATTAGTATTTTTGGCTCTTTGCAGTTAGTTATGAGTCCTGAATCTGGCGGTAAAACAATATTAGCATTAACCTGATTTTGTTTATTTTTATTTTGATTGTTGTCCTCCTGAAAGCCTCCAAGAGCTTTTGTCCTCGGGCGAGTCAAGGTCGGTGATCCTCTGAGTTTTCTTTCAGATAATTCTGTATATAAAAAAATCATCTCAAAGTATTGTTGTTCTCTTGTTGTTCATCTCAAAATCATTATCAAAGTATTTTATTTTGAAAATATCCAAAGTTAAGTTTACATATTCACGTTCCACTTCTTCAAGAGCTCTTGTCCCTGTCAAAGTTGAGGTTCCATTCTGGCTTGCCCATTCCATGGGAGCCAAATGGCCTCATCCACCCCCACTTGTAATTCTTCAGGCACCTCTGCCTTTTGGGGTAGGATGATTAACTCTGAATATATTGAATTCATAACTCTTCTAAGGGCACGTTGATGAGCATGTTTATTTACATTTTGTCTGGTCGTAATGTCAATTAAATACTGCATTTTATTTTAAATAATTTTAGTATTCTATATCCTAATATTGAGTTTGTGTAAGATATAATTCTGATAAGTTTAAAAAATTTTGTACAATTTTTCTTTCCCTTGAATAAACACTATCGTATTTTTTATATAGATTAATAAAATATCAAAAATTTTTAAATTTTCTTCCCATTCAAAAAATGTTTTGCTTTTTATTTGCTAAATATGTACCTAAATAGTTTTCAATTTTAACACAATATTTATCTCTGGCTGATAATTTTTTTAAAGTAATATATTTATTAAAAAATTTATTTTTCTGAATGTTTCTGCATGCTGTGCTACAAACCCCAGTTGCCTCCCTAATGTATTACACAGTAAAAATTGATCTCGAATTTGGAATCTGTTAATTTCAATTATAACATCTATATTCAGGGTTCCTACGCACCTGGAAAGTCAGGGAAAATCAGAGATTTTCATTAGTGTTTGGAAAAAATCACGGAAAGTCAGGGAATTTGTCTCCTTGACTGCGTTGTTAATCT